TAGCCCAAGCAGGAAAGCAAAGTCGTTCCTGTTGAGTTGAGGGAACCACTACCTGCAAGGCTCGGGGACAATCAATCTACTGCTTGTCTCTACCCATCAGCCTATTCTAGATTTTTCAGTGGAACGTGGTCTTTGTGACAGGCTTCTTTCACTTAGCGTGGAATAGCACGCTGTAGCACTGCATTGCTTTTAGCTCAATAATATTACATTAAAAGGATGTGTCTATCACATTCTATTTGCCCATTTATCAGTTGATAGGCATTTACTTTGTTTTTAACTTTTTAAAATCTATTTTTCAGCTAATATAGATAATGCTGTTATCATATACAAGTTTCTGTGTGGACAAATATTTTTATTTTTCTTGGGGGTTTATGCATCGGAGTGGAATAGCTGAGTCATATGTTAACCTTATTTTTAGATTTTTGGTGGAACTTCAGACTGCTTTCTGAAGCAGAAGTACCACTGTGCTTTCTGACTAGCCAGTGTATCAGATTCTGATTTCTGCATATCCTCACTGGCATGTTTTATCCTCTCCCTTTTGATGAGAACAATCCCAGTGGGTGTGCAGTCGTACCTCATGGAGGTTTTCATTTGCATTTCTCTCATGGCTAATGAGAGTGAACGTCTTTTCATGTGCTTATCGGACATTTGTTTGTCTTTGGAAAAATGCCTACTCAGATCTCAAAGGAATCTTTGATAGAGCAAATTGCTTACTGATTGGGGGGGAAAAAAAGCTTCTTTGAAGTGAGGTGGTTGTGCATAGATTTTAATCTACTTGAACCTCTACTGTCTCGGAGAGCCTTCACTCCGGGCTGTGGCTCTGAGAACTCCAAAGGTTGCTTGGTGTGGCTCCCCTGTCCTAAACACTCGTGGGTAAGTGTGTCACTCCATGCATTAGATAAAGGCAGGCCCCAAAGTGGCTGATCCGCAGAAGTGCCTGGAAAGGTGGAGAAAAGCAGATTCTTGGGACTGGACCCCAGAATCAGAATGTGGGGGTGAGGTTCAGGTAACTCTATCAGAAGAGATCCACCAGATGTTTCTAATGATCATTTTGGCCTGGGAATCACTGGTGCCACTTCCCTGGAGGGCCCATGCTTTCACGTGGCGCATTGGGTGGCATCTTGGAGGGTCTGACTGGGCTCTTCTGCTGTGATGGACATGCTTTCTCCTCACTCTGTCCCTCCAGCTACCATTCACCAGAGAGGCAGGGAGCCTTGCTTATCTCTGAGTCTTCAAAAGGAAGTAGAACAATGACCAGAATGTAGAGAAAGGAAAAGAAAAAAAAAAGTAGAGGGATAGAAAAAATAACAAAAAAAAAAAGACGTTAAGTGTTGTGGAGAAATACAAGTCCAAGGTGCAGGAGTAACCGCAAAGGTCAGCAGGAATTTAAATCAGATCTTTGCAACTCAAAAACCCAAGGACAGATGTGTCTAATTTTATATTACTTTTTGACCCAAACTAATTATATCTATTTGACCCAGTTCAATTATATTCCATTGCTGACTTCAAAAAGAATATTCAATGCTCAAAGCAGAAGTGCCAAAGTCATTTAAGCTGTCGCTACATGCTGTGCAGCCTCGTCCCCCTCTGCCCCTCACCCTTAACTCTTTCCCATGCACCCTTCATACACAAAGCCACACATCTTCCATCTGCTTTCCTGGGGGCCACCAGTGTCAGCTCACTGCCCATTTGATCATCCCCTTCATGCTCTGTCTTTTCTGACCGCCTTGTAGCACCTGAATCGTCTGCACTCCTCCTGAGCACGGTGTTCTCCTGCCTGCTTGGGCTGAGCTGGCTCTGAACCTTCTTCACAAGACCAGCCTCTATTACCCAGGCTCACGTGTGCTCCACACCCCTGTTCAACACAGGCTAAGTGGTGGGTCACAAAACTGAGCGAGGCTCAGGCTCTGTCCTCAGGAATCTCAGCTCAGTAAGCTGTCCCCTAATCTCTACAGTGTGGCCTCTTCCCAGGACCCTCTACCTACTCAAGCCCCCTCCCAGCATGAGCATGCCTAAAGTTCCCATCTGCTCACGTCTTGTCTGCTTCCTTGTTTTCCCACGGGATTTCCACCCTTCTCTTTGAAGAAGAGAGCTACAGCCTTCAGCTCCTCAGGTTGGCAACGCTACTCTCACGGTCTAACCCAAGCTAGCCTTCCATTTCAGCCCCCAGTTCTTTCCAAAAGGCATTTGGTGGCTCTGTCTAAATTGGACTTCTTGCTGTTCTTCAAACATACCCTTCCTATTCCAGTTCCCATGCCTTTAATCACACTGTCCCATCTGCTGGAAGACTCCTCACCCCATCTGTGCCTTCAGAAAACAACTCATCTTTAGAAGCCTTTTCCAAATGCCACCTCTTGCAAGAAGAGACCTCCTGGTCGTTCCGCAGCCTCCCATTAGTTGTGTGTTCTTTTCCCTTCTTTACCCCCATGGCATACTAGGTCTCTCTCCTTAGATGGTCTTCACCTCTGTGCCTACAGCATTCTCCACTCTTTTCAGAGGCTTCATTAGACAATGACTGTCCCCAGTTGCATGGCTTATATGAATAGTCACAGCTACATCCAACATTCCTAAACTAGACTGACCTGAAATCTACAGACTCAAGGGCAAATCATGCCTGCAGCCCATCTTTCCTATCCCTCCAATTTACTTATTTTAGGATAAAAAATACCCCAATTAATATTTTTCTATGGGATGTCTTAGTATGTGGATCCGTCTCTAATTAGGAATAGATTATGACGGCTGTGGAGTTCCAGGAAGCTGCTAGTGATGAACACTTAAAGAAGGAGGAGAGCTAAAGAGGCCTGTGTCCCCATTTCAGGTCCCTAATCAGCCTCCACGTGACTTCGGCCCAGTTAGTTATCTTCCCAGACTCCTGGCAGAATAAAGTTTATTTTCTCCTTGGGACTGATGAGAAAATAGACTTTTACACATTTTTCTAAATTTGCAGTTTTATATTTTCCTTAAATCTTGTAACTCTAGCCTTAGTGGTGAGCCACCAGACGTGGGATCCCAGTCTATTCTTACTTCTCTTGAGGATATTCAAATCTCCACGAATGGATGTTTTGTACCAGGAGCAGCATCGAAACTTGATTTCTAAGTGCTGCATTTTGCCCCCATGACCTTTCCTTAGATGAAATGTTCAGAGAATGCCCAGAGTACAAGAGTGAGCAGATCACAGTGCTTGGCTAGCAGGGAGCAGGGGCACAGTCCCTCTCGGTGCCGCTTGTCTGCTCTCCAAGTGGGGAGGGGATTCCTGAGGCAGAGCCTCAGAGCTCCAGGGACCACCAGTTGAAAACCCCTGCTTTCTCCCTGCAGCCTTTACATGTTTCACTTTAAATGTTTTTATAATCAGACGTGAAAAGAACTCAACACTGGTCTTTTTTTTGGTACTGGGGATTGAACTCAGGGGCACTCCAATTCAAAGAGCCACATCCCCAGCCCTATTTTGTATTTTATTTAGACACAGGGTCTCACTGAGTTGCTTGGCACCTTGCTTTTGCTGAGGCTGGCTTCGAACTCGTGATCCTCCTGTCTCAGCCTCCTGAGCTGCTGAGATTACAGGTGTGCGCCCCTGCGCCCGCCCGGCAACACTGGTCTTTATGGGACATGGAAAGCCAGAGGTCCAAGAACAATCAAACAGGTAAGTGGGATCACTGACCTGTGGCAGGTGCATATGGAATTTAGGGCTTCCAGAAAGGCTACTTTGGGTGCTGATATGCCCCAGAGTTGCCAGTGAACAGAGTATTTCCTTGCTGTTTTTAGCCTTGGTGTGCTGAATCCAACAATGCAGAATGCACATGGTAAGAAATGGATGGGTGCAATTAAAAATGTAAATAATAAAAAGGGCGATAAGACTGTCCACAATTTGTTTTGTAAAAATTCTTTAAAGTTATTAATATATAATGAATGACTCATTCATCCATCCACCCATCCCAAGCCAAAGAGCAACAACAACAATAAAAGACTGGGTGAAACCAGAAGAAACCTGTAGGTGAACATAATCCAGATTATGTTTTTAAATATATGGGTTTTGGGGACACTTTTCCTTTTCAAGTAACCTTTTAAACACACCAAACATCGTGAAAAGATACACCTAAGGAGCTTTTTTACCTTTTGTTTTAGTGCCCCTTGGAAATGTTTTCTAGCACTTAATAAATCTGCTTAATCTATATATAAGGAGGTTTAATCTAAACGTAAAGAAGCTCCAACTATTTTCATTAGTATTGATAAAATGCTTGAAAAATCAAAACTTAAAGTAGATTAAAGCACAACAATGTTAATACTGAAGAAGAGACATTCAACTGTGCTTGCTATTGTGAAATTATAATTTTAAAAGTGGGTAACACAAGTCAAAGGCAGAAACTTGAGCTAAGTTGGAATAAACATAAACATTTGCACATGTTTACCATCAATAAAATAAACTAAGAATTTCTGTCATGATTCTTAACAATTTTTACCTGAGGGAAAAAAAATAATGCTTTTGATAAAAAGACATCAACTTTTTGCATAAAATGTTTATCCCAAATCCTAAAATAATTTTATACAATCAAAAAATCCATAAAGAACAGATGGATATGACTAACAAAAAATAATCTGTATGCCTTATTTATGGTATTGATTACTTTTTTCTTTCACTTCTAGTGATATTTGTTTTATATTATTCTACATAAATGAATATGCTTACTTTTTTTGGACTATGACACAGTAATTCATACCAAGTTTTAGAAAAGGTGCATGATGATTTATGCTACACCTGTAAAAGCTCATCACTTCTAAAATCAAAGAAAACCAAGGACATTCTAAAAATGTTTTCTACTAGGCTTCCAAAAAACAAGAAGAAAGAGAAATAAACTGATTTTAGAAATGATTTCAGAAAGAAATGCAGAATACCATTTGGATTTGGTTTAAGTATCATATAAAATCTTACTGTTAATTTCCTTACCAACAAGCTATAAAAAGCAAAAAGTTTCCATTATTATGCTATAATTTTTGGAACTTACTTTCAAAATCCAGGAAAAAATGGGGATAGTTTTCAATTTCCCTGGTAAGGACTTTGAGCAGGTTTCCCATCCCAGCAAACCTAGAAAGGCAACACAAAAAGAAAGACACTTAGAGATATAAAAAATAGACCTTTAGCTACCTCTGAAGACCAAAAAGAAGACACCCCATGCCTTAAGATGAGTAACTCATTCCTGAATTGGTTACAGATAAACATCTCCGAGGTGCTGTATCTCCAAAACATAGGTACATCTGGCCTAAACCATATGACAATGATTAAAAAAAAAAAAGTGTCATAATGTCTCTCAGGAGAATACACTTGCACCTTGTATCTCTTTCACTACATATAAAAAAATTAACCAGAACATCCTATTAAAAGAATTAGGTATTTCAATTTTAGGAAGTAGAGTTTTGTGTATTCTGCACAATGCTTCCTTTCCCCTTCACTGATCCTCTGAATCCTCACAGTTAATACTCCAGCTCTGCCTCATTCCCATTGCATGGTCATTTACATTGTTGGGGAACATACCATGTCAATGGATAAGCAGAAAAAAAGAGGGTATTTCTAAAATATCTGTCTAGAAAGGTAAGTCTCTTAAAATTCATGGGAAACAATTCAGAAAACACAGACTAGGGGTTCCAGGGACTTGCCAGTAGGTATAAGAGACAAAACTTCTCAGAATGTAACTATAGACAAATCAAAGGTCTCATAATGGGACATTTCAATGGTAAAGAGACTGGACACTTAATGAAGAGTAAAAATTAAAAGGCTAACATCCAAAACTTACCAATGAAGCATCAGTCTAAGACATTTAAAAAGTGTTTCAAATCAACAGAGAAATAGAAATTTGTTACATATTTTGGGGGGAACTGGATATTGAGCCCAGGGGTGCTTTACCCCTGAGCTACATCTCCAGCCCTTGTCGTGATTTTTAAACAGTAAAATTTCCACTATTCTTAGATGTAGACATTAAACTGTCGTCTACACCTCTCCAGACTAAATTCACCTATTCATTCACTCATTCATTCAACACGTGTTTTTGGAGCAGTATGCAGGCACTGGGTCTGAGCTATTTAGAAAGCAATCTTCTAATTCTACTATAAGTGACCCTTGTGACTTCCATACCCCATTTTTTGAAGGATCAATATTAAAAAATCATGGCCAGTGAACTGCTGGGCTGCAATTTTGTATGCTTATGGCTTCTGAGAGTAATAATGTTGATATGGAAATTTTTAAAAATACACCACTACATGAGAAAGATGTATCAAGAGAAAAATGCACTTAAAAAATGACTCTATGTGTGAGAAGATGCAGCAAATATAATCTGGCCTCCTTGCTCTTCCACTGAGAAGCCACTCACACATCTGCAGACCTCCCTCATGGGAAAACCTACTGACACGAAATCAGAAAAGAGACCAGGTAGAGTCTATTCCTCGCCACAAGGCCTCATCCTAATCCCAGCTCTGCTTCCTGCTCCCTCTAACCATGGAGGGCAAGCCACTTCATTCCTGTGATCCTCAAGTTCCTTATCTGCAAAACAAGTTCTTGGAAAGTATCTATTGCACCATGTTGTGAGGATTAATGAAATGATAATGCAAAATGCTTAGTGCAGCACTTAGACAAAATTTCAAAAAAAAAAAAAAGAGTTACAAGCTCTTGGATGACAATAAGAGTTGCCATCATCATCATCATCATCATCATCATCCTGATTATCTTAACAGCCTTCACATACTTATTTAGGATGTTCCTATGGAAGGTGTATTTGATAGACTGTATGTGGCTCCAGGGAAGATAGGATCAATGGGGAAATAAGGAGAAAGGTCTTCATTCAGTGTCCTGAAAAAAAATGTCTAGCCATGAGAATTGCCTGAATATTGAGTAATTTGCCTTATGAAACAATGTGCTTTTTCTCACTGGTGATGTCTAAGTAGTATAGCATCATCCCTAAATGATTTTTAAATGATGCTATAAAAATGACTTACGTGTTAGGGAAAAGGTTGGACTAGATATGTCCTAGATCTCTCCTTCCTTGAGGTGCATGACTACACATGGGTGTGCATGTGTGTGCAATGGAAAACAAGCACCATATTTCCCTCTTCCAAAAGGTCTTCCCTATCCCGTTGTCATTCTTCCTTTCTCTCCTGCTTTTATGCACATTTCCTTTACAGATATTTTTGAGCAAAGCCCTGTGTGAAGTGGGTTCTGCCAAATTGAACGGCTGCAGCTGACCCAGACCGTTCCTCCACTGGGCAGCATTCCTGAGTCCCCTGCCTCTCTAGGGAAGAATATTGCCAGTTTAATGAGCAATTTGAGATCAAACCTGCAGACCCTTCTTGCGGGAAGATGATTCCACCATTTAGCAGAAGCCCTGGCTTACATATGTAATGACTTAATGGAAGAAAAATATTTTTAATTTCCTTATTTCTGTGCTATGAATGTGTCACAAGACACTTTGGTGAATTTAGCTCTCTTGTCAAATTCTGTCCTGGGCATGATTTTAGTGTCCAAGTAGCTGGGTGGGAAATAGGCCAAGCCTTTGAAGTTTGTAACAGACGGAAACAAACGTACATAGAAATGCATCCAAGTATTAGCTGTAGATTTTTCTCTCTGGCTGAGTTGACTGGCTAATTTGGGCAAATAATCTGGAGCTTGACTCTAGCCTTAACCATGTTCAGTCACCTGGAACGCCCAGGATCCTAGATGTGTCATCTATCAGAACATCTAGAACAATGGCTGTGGGGACCTGTGTACTGTTAGGTGTTAGGGGTCAAGTCTAGTCCTATGAAGCCTAAAATACATGCCCTTCAAACCCAATGAAAGATCAGTACAGAAGCATTTCCTTCCATCTCCTTTATGGCAAAGGAATTTGATGTCCATGCTCTCTGCAAGGGTGAGAAGCATTCAAGGGAGTTTCTTCTGGTGCAGGGAGGCCTTCAAATTAAGTTGGAAAAGGGGAAGAATAGTGGAATAGTAAGATGAGAAGAGAGAGGAAAGCAGTATGTGACCTACAGGTTATCTGGGTCATTTTCTGGGAATGGTTTATCAATTTGGATCTGAGCTTCCAGGTAGTCGAAGCAAAGGAGAAAATAGCTGGTCTCTTTCAAGGTTTAGTGTTCAGAACACAAACATCAGCAGGTTAAGAGTCAAGACAAAAACCCATCTCCAGCTAGGAGCAGAGGAAGTTGTATCTGAGCACGAGCTGAATCACAGAGATCCCATGGGCACAGCAGTGGTTTCCCAGCTGAACAGTGGCAGAGTGGGCCGCCTGGCAGTTCAGGGTGGTCTCTGAAATGCTGGGGACTCTGGCTTCAATGTACTATCAGTAGCTTCTGGCTACCCTCCTACTGTGACCTGTGCTCATCTGTCCTACGTAGGTCAGCTACTTGCCACCCTTCTCTGTGCTGTGGGGACTTACGTCAGAGGGCACACAGCAGTTGAGCCAGAACTCTGAGTGCCCACGAAGACCTTAACCCAGGTCTCATAAAACAATGACAATTCTTACCAGTTTTATAGGTAAAGAAGCTGCTTAAGTAGGTTCAAAGGAGAGTAAGGTCTCCCCAATGACAAAAGAGGGACAGGAAGACCATTTGAAGGAGAGAAGTATGACAAAAAGGTAGATACAAAAACACTAAAATACAATAGAATCCATAAAGGAGGAGGTGAGAGGTGTCACGGGCTTGTTTACTAATTGACACTAGTATGTTGCAACAGTCAAGCTTCCTTTCATCACACACGTGCACATGTATGTACAACACACACACACACACACACACACCACCACACACACACACACACACACACACACACACACTGACTCCTCTGTCACCATGCAAAGTCACCGCTACTTAAGTTCTAGTTAAATTCTCCCTGGAATTGATGTAGTCACAATGTTGTCCCTGATGTTCCAAGATCTAAATTTCCTCCTGTGGGGAGGGTGTGACCCAAACAAGGACAGAGTACAAGGCCTTGGTCACCAGGTGAAGAGACAGGAAAATACGCACCAGTTGGGTAGATACACATGAGGAAATGGGGCACTGAACAGAGGCTCTTGGACCCCCTTGCCTGGGCTACTCCCTGTTTGGAGAACAACACTGGGAGGTGGTCCTCTTATCAATGGCCACTTGGGATGGCCTTTTGCTCTTTCCCCAGGCCCAGAACTCTCTGGACACCAGCCCTTCTCCACCAAAGGGAAGGTGCACAGACATCTGGGTCCTTGGGCTCTGGCAAGATGGCTTCAGCAATTAGCTGGGCCTCTTTTCCCACGGCACTGCAGACTAGTCTTACCCATAAAGATGAACACACAGTCTTGAGAATATAAAGCAGGTCAAAATAACAAGACCAACCAAGGATCCAAAATCTGCGTATTTTCAGGAGCAGATGGGCAGGATCATAAAGAGGAGTGCTTGAAAGAGTCCAGAAATCTGAGGTGCAATCTAACTCCTCGCTGTTCCTGAGCAAGTCATTTTGGCTGTGAATCTTGAGTTCCTTATCCATACAACAGGACTAGAACATTATTTCATCTGCATCAAACTCTTGCAAAGACTGAACAAACACTATACGAGCTCCATGTGGTCTGTAAACTACTGTCGAATACTAGCTGTAAGTACTCAACATTGAAACACACCCGGCAGTTTAAGATATTCAGGGAATCAAGGAAATACATGCAACATCCCCAGAATCATATGATCTGCAGTTTTTCAATCTTTCATGTTGGCTCTCCCAAGATCCATAATCCTTTGTCTCTTTCACACCAAGCTATAATCAGGTAAGTACTGACAGGTGTTAGTACCTGAAAGAGATTTTTCTACATGCCAGACAGTGTATTTTAGTTATATTTTTAATTTCAGCCTCAAAATATGCATAAGAGAAAGATATATTGTTAAGTGATTACAGAATTTAGACTCATTAAAATTAAGTATAGAAGTTAATTGGAAAACACAAATCCATTTGAAAGGAAACTGGATTTTCAGAAAAACAATATTTGCACAAGTTTGTAACAATTAGAGGTCAGGATATTCAGATAATAAGATAACCCAAGTGTAAACAAATGCTTCTAAAAATATGAATACTGAGGTGATTCTATTGTAATGTTCAAACAATCACCAAAAACTTACAATTTTTAACCAAACAACTGTGTTTATATGTGCCCATTTCATAACTATAGTATCCCATTTAAGGAAAATACAATCGCCTAGTGAAGAAAACCTAATCAAAGTGGCTCATGAAATACGTCGATTGAAAAGAAATGAAAACGGGGAACAGTGGCACGCGCCTGTGATCCCAGAGGGTTGGGAGACTGAGGCAGGAGGACCACACATCCAAAGGCAGCCTCAGCAAGTCAGCAAGGTCCTAAGCCACTCAGCATGACCCTGTATTGAAATAAAATATAAAAAAGGGCTGGGGATGTGGCTTCGTGGCTAAGCGCCCCTGGGTTCAATTCCTGGTAGAAAGGAAGGAAGGAAATACCAAAGCACAAGGGCTGACAGCCAGCCTTCTAAAGGGACTGGGGCTGCCCGAGGGGAGCCACGGTCTCAGGGCTCAGCTGAGGTACACTGACTGTAGGAGCCAGCACGCACTATTTTGAGAACGGAATCTATCTGGAAGCACAGAATACCTCCTAAAACACCCTCCATCTGGACTCTGGAAAAGTGCTCAAAGGTGTCCACTGAATGTCAACATGTGAGAATGGCAGCGTGTACCAAGTACGTGTGAAATACCAGAGTGGAGAGAGTGGCCGCTGTCATAAAGCTCATCAGTGCTGTATCGAGGGCCCACTGTGCGCCTGGCAGCACATCTGGGCTTCCCCACACTTCATTTCCTTCAAGTAGCGAGGATTACCTTCACTGTGGAACAGCAGGAGATTCAGAGTGGTCGACCACTCTCCAAAGATCACAAGAGAGTGGAAGAGAGTCTGAGTGACACTGAAAGGTGGGGAACTCACAGTCTGTGCTCTGTTCTGCACAGGAGGGGACCTGGAGCTCCAGAGCCCCCGTCTGGGCACGCCAGAGAGCCAGTGGTCTTCCAGAAGGCCTGCAGGACGTTGCGCTGTTGGGTAGATCAGCTCTCTTTTCTGGGGAGAGAGTCTTAGAGCTTCCATCAGATCCTAAAGGTCTGCTCTCCACGAGCATGCTCAGGGCAGGTACGGGGAAGTGTGTGTCCCTGAATCCAGAAAAGGGGAGACTGCAGAAGTCTGAAGTGAAGGACACAAGCTCAGGGTGCTGAGCGAGCGCCTGCAGCTGGGGGCCATGAGAAGTGAGAAGGAAGCGAGGCCAGCGCCTGGGCAGGTTTCCCCAAAGCAGGTTTATTTCTCCAGGCTGTAAGATTATTTCCAAACAGGACTTTCATTTTGTTTTTCTTTTCCAGAGTCCAGACGGAGGGTGTTTCTCTCGTCACTTTAGGCTCCCGGCGTGACTCTGCCAAGGGAGGCACCCGCCTTCACCGGGTGACACTTTTGGATGTACTCGTGGTATTTCCTGTGACCACTGCTTTGGCTCTTGGCTCAAAGGCACATGTACGGGGCCGGCTGTTGCACTACTGGGTGAAACACTGACTCTAAAAAAAACCATCCTCTGCTAATATTTCCAATTTCCAAAAAGAGGAGATAATTAATACCCTCCCCCCACATTTTGGATGAAAAAAATGAAATGACACTCTCAGCTGCATTCCCCGAGCTTAAAACCCAGTGAAAGCAACCGGACCTAGTTTAAAAAAGATGTGAGAGTAGTTTGCAGGGAACAAGATACAACAAAGGGCACAAGCTCAGGGTGCAGAGCAATGTGGATGATTACCTTTGCCCGGGCACACCAAGATTTCGGTGATCAGTTTTCATGATTAAAGATCTTATAGAAACACCCAGAAGATTTTTTTTTTTTTTTTAGCTATGACTAAGTGGAAGAAGAATTCCTAAGTCAACACCACCTTCTTCTACAACAAAGAGCAGAAAGTAAGAAAATAAATAAAATAGTAGCCCTACCAGTTTTGTTTTCTAATATTTTTTTCTTAAGGTCCAAGATGACAGTCTCAATCCCTCTATCAGAAGGGGTCAGTTTGTTAGCTTTTTCCTTCAGCAATATCAGATCCTAGGATAGTTAGTGTCCCTGGTGCAAGAACTTTTAGAAAGCAGACTTGGATGATTTATAACTCAACATTTTGGGGATGAAGAAAGACCAGTTCACTCAACTTTTTTTCTTGACAATGCATTATAGAAACAATAATAACATACATTTGTAATATCACATCTTTGCTAAAAATGTGTTGGCCACGTTTATCCTCAACGTAAGCATGTATTGTGGGAAGGGGAGGTTTTATTAGACCCATTTACAGACAGGAGCTCCATGACCAGGTACAGTAACTGTCCTTCCCTAGGTCATCCAGACGGCTCCTGGACTCCTGATCTGTAGTCCGAGAGCATCCCCACATTTCATCAGAATGCACCCCACAGCAGAGGAACTAGGAGACTCTTTTTAAAGCTTTAATTTATAAAAACAAAAACAAAACACACAAATACTGGTCCGTGGATCTACAGCACACTACAGCCAAGGAATCAGAGAGACATGTGTTGGCTCTCAGAGCCACACTGTCCCTACTGACATATCAAATCCATCTTTAAGACATAGAGCCACTGTCTCAGCCGGGAACAGTGGCGCAGGGCTGAGATCACGGTGGCTCGGGAGGATCATGAGTTCAAAGCCAGCCTCAGCAACTCAGCAAGGTGCTCAGTAACTCAGTGAGACCCTGTCTCTAAATAAAATATAAAACAGGGCTGGGGATGTGGCTCAGTGGTTAAGTGCCCCTGGGTTTAATTCTCTCTACCCGCGCCCCCCCCCCAAAAAAAAATAACAAACCATTGTCTCTGAGGGTCCCTGCTCCCTGGCAGGAGGCTCTGGCTGGAGCATGCCAACACAGGGTGCCCAGGCTCCAGCAAGTGCAGCCCCCTGCTGGTTCCTAGCGGTTGTGCACCCTTCTTTCACCTTGGGTTGTGTCACCCCAATCCAGACCCCAGCAGAGCCTGCCTGTGTCCTGCCAACAGCTTGCAGATCGGGCCTTCCTGACCCAGTCCTGTCACTCTCCCACTCGTTCCATGCTGCTGGCAACACCAACTTTCTAAACATAAAATTGATTCCTTTCCTAAAACGCTCCCCGATGCCTGCAGGGTCTGTACATGCAAAGTCACACCCTGGGCACAGAAAGCCTGTCCTCTGCTCACCTTTTGTCCCTGCTTTCTCTCCACCTATCCCTGCCTCGTCCACTCTGGACATACCTTGCACTTCCCTCACTGCCTCCTTAGGGCCACAGGGCCCTTGAACATGTGGCTTCTTCTGCTTAATACTCTCCGTGACCTGCAGGCCACAGTAACGGCACCATCCCAAGTATTATCATATTTTAATGTTCACAACAACCATATGAAATAGGAACTGTCAGTATCTTACTTTTAGAGACAGAGTTAATCTTAGGGATTTAGAACCTTACTGATGCTGGTTCAGGATAGAGCAGGGCCTGACCTCTTAGCACCAGCAACCACCCTCCCCACATGTTCCTCCAAGTTTGGCTGTGGAAGTCTGGAAAGAAACTCATGAGCCCTCCCTACTCTTTTGCTCCATTCTAACAAAAACAAAGCCCACCCCTGCTTACTTAACACACAGGGTATACTCTGCGAAGGCACCCATCAGAAAATTACAGGCTGGCCCCTGGACGTGGGGTCCTGCTGTTTACACCTCATTGCATCTATAGCACCAAGAGCAGGGCCTCATCTGTAGTAAGCACTGGGAGAGAAATCCTGAAGACTTCTCTGTCCGGCGGTTCCCGAGCACCAGTCCAAAGCAAATGAGAAAAACAATGGCTTCCTCATGAATCTTAGAAAGTTAACGGTGGCCAGCCACTTCCATGTTACAGTGTGGTCCTTTATCTTACAGAGTGAGGCCGATGGTTATATCCAAAGTCCCCAAAGTCTACTTGGAAATTTGACTGGCTTATGGGATCCAGAGGTGGAGGATTGTACAGTCAGTGACCTGCCCAGGGTTGGAGGCAGAGCTGAGTGGGACGTGGGTTCTTCTCTCCCAGATGAGTGCACCTGCGACCTGCTCACCTAGTTCTGTCGTAAGTCGAATCTCCTAACTACAAGGGGGCGCCACAATCTGCTGAGGATCAGGAAACAATACTTCACGGTACGTGTGACACTTGGACATGTTGAGTGCGTTTGCTGCTGGAGAAGAAGTGACTCTCTGGCCTTCCCCGCACCCCTGTCTCTCACCCCCTCTTTCCCTCCTGAAGTGAAGGAAGGGGCTTTCTCTCAAGATCCCCCTCTACCTAGGGCCAGGTCTGCCAGAGGATTCACTTGCAGGAAGGAAGACTAGAGTGGACCCCAGCCTTGGGGGATGCTGTTGTGGCTCTTCTGTCCTTCAGGTCCTTTTAGCTCCCAGGAAAATCATTTACTCTTTCTCCAAAATGCCCTCCAGCCCCCACTTCCTGCTCCTCTGTGAAGAGGGCACTGAAGCTCAAATACCTGGTCCTTCTCCGAGTTCCACACTTGTGTGACTTAGGGGCACCTGCATGACAGTAAGTTTGTAGGCCTTTTCTCCTGTTGGTCTGTGCATTGCTGGTTCATTGCAGGCCCGAACCTTGAGAGCTGGAGAAACCCCTCCTCCTTCCCCAGCAGATCAGAGAAAAGCAGTCCAGTCTGGGATTCAGGCAAGTTTCCAGGGACTGCATGTGAACTGGGGAGAGTGATGACACCAATGTACTGAGGCTGATAGACAAGATTTAGGTTGGAGTGATCATGAGAGCAAGCCCCTACGGTGGCCGCTGTCAGTGACACTCCCCATACTGTTCTGGAAGGTCAAGGACACCTCTGGTTCCTCCCAGGAACCATTAGCTTGCTTGCATCCTGCATGTTGTCCCCACAGAAAGGGACCCAGCTGACAAATAATATCCACACGGCTCAGGGATACTTCCCTCTGGTACCTGCAGAACCCACTTAGACAACCTTTACGCTACCTGTTTCGAATTAGAAGCAAACCAAATTACCAGCTTCTAGTTAACCGTGAGTCTATGTCGTATAGGATGGAAAATAAGCAGTTTCAAGAAAACACTTCTCAATTAAAAGAGAGTCGCACTTAAAAATAAGGCAACTAGCTGCTTTTTGGTGTTGGGGGCGGGGTGGGACAGACCAATGGAATGAAGCAGCTTATCTTCTCAATTCCAGGACACGGACTTTCCTGAACCAGATTAGCAACATTAAGTAGCTGGGTGGGCGGCAAGGCCCGTCCTCATCTGCCACTTTTGTGATGAAGTCATGAGGTTTTCTGATCCGTGGTCCAATGTGTTGCCAAGAATCCAAAGACGTTTTCATTCCAAGATGAAGGAGGGAAACTGCAGTGGAGTGAGTCTATTAAGCACTTTCATCTGACAATAAAAATGAGTTAATGGCTCAAATGTGTTTTCAAAACGTTTTAACACCACAAGTAATGGCACTCAAATGGGAAAACGCTTTGAATATTCTCATCGATCATTAATACCACGGTGTCCCTCCGAAGGGCTTGGTGTTCTCGGTGGAATACAAGCTGCTGGAGTCCAGTTGTAAGGTAAGCCATGGGAATTCTCCAAAAAAACACCGAGAGGCCATTATGGAATTGAACGATTAAGTGCAGGTTTAAAATAGCCCTTTCCATATCTGAGTTCAGTTTTTCTAAAATAGACTATTACCTCACCATAGCTAATTTTCCCATAAACACCAACATGACAGCAGCAAAAAGTCTCCAAGAAATGAGGGCAAATTAGGTTCCTTTTTCAGGGAAAGAAAGTCAACGTGTCCCTCAATTTCAAATGCCAGAGTATGGAAGCAATCAGGCTGGGCTGGGCTCCGGAGCAGCCCACCACCGAGAAATTCTGAGTGAATTGGTTCACTTTCACTTGTGAAATCCCGAGGACACTGCTTGGAATGCCGGTTGCTTACCTAGAAGGCTGACGTCCCCGCACACCCTGGCCGGTCCTGCTGAACTGCCAAGGGAAAGAGATGCCCAGGCAGAGCCAGGGGCCCAGAGACCAGGCGCCTGTTTCGGAAATGCCGTTCGCCCCTGTGTGATGTTGGGCAGGAGGCTCAGGCTGTCTTGATGGCTGAGCTTCAGTCTAGACGATGGCAGCTTGAAGCTACCTGGGGCTTGGGCTGCTCGGAAGCCCGCTCTTGTGACAAAAAAAAAAAAAAAACTTTCTTCTTTCTCAGTGGTTTACGAAAATGACAGTCAGGACCCTCTTGCTGGGAGAGCAGCGGACCTGCAAGAGGGGCCTCACCAGACCCTCCCCAGATGAGATGCCTGCTCACCTGTCTCCTGACTCATCTCCCCGCAGGTGCTGCCCTCGGTCTCCACTTCCTCCAACAGCCTTCACATGTCTGGGGTTTCTTTCTTAACCCCCTCTCACCCTCTCTGGCAACACCCTCCTGTGTCCAAATTCTACCCATCTGCGGAGGATTTTGCAAACCAACTGTCCTCAGCTGCAGGCCCACACCTCCGGATGAATTCCCCATAGGCACAGCAATTTTGGGGTGGCCCTGACACTCTCGCTTTCCACCCTCCCCCAGTGTGACGAAAGGCATCCGCATTCATCTGATGATATCACCCAGGAGCCTGGGCACCATCTGCAATCCCTCCATCGCCCTCATCTTCTGGATGATTCCCCCAGTGAGCCCTCTCAGTGTAACGCCCCCCACCTCCACGCCTCCTCCTCTCTGGGCCTTCTCCCTCCTGCCGTCATTCCTTATTGTCAGTTCCCTCCTCCCTCTCTCGCTTCCCACCTGGGACAATTTAGGCCCCTCGGATCATTCATCAGGATCAGGACATACAGGAATTTCATGTATGAAATAAATGCTGGTGAATTAAGCCTCTTCCATTCCCGTTATCTTACAATACGGATTTTACAATGTTTTCTCCTTCTCTCTGCCTGGCTGCTGCACCATCGGCAGCGGCTGCTTACATGTGTTCTTCCAGCTCCTCTGCCTCCACCCACAGTTCTTTGTCAGGCGGTGAAGCATGACCCAGGTTAAGGCATCGGGAGCTCAGGTACTACTGGAAGGCATCCTGAGGAGGAGAGGCCCCCTGAGGAGTCCAGAAGCCCCTGGGCCACAGCCTGACCTGCCCATGGCTTTCAGATGCCTGGTTTTCTTAAACGGGGGTCCACCTGAGTACCACAGGCATCTTTGGAATTGACATGTGAACACATTAGGGAGTTAGTTCCTAGTTCAGATGTATTTGGGAAATGTGGGATGTCAAAATTCTGTAAGCATTAAAAAAAAAAAATTACCAAAAGCCATTTCACATGCTAAAATGCTGAAGAATTGGAGGCCAAGGGAAGTTGGCATGCTCCATTAAATCTCCAGCTTCAAGCATGTCCAAAGTGCCCAAACTTACTTGAAATCCCAGAGACAGGTGTGGCTCTGCCTTTGTTCCCAGTCTCTGAAGGAACAGTCGCTTTGGTTTCAAACGACGTTCACTGCAAATAAACCCAATGTTTTAAAGCAGAAGCCCTGGCTGGAGGCCCAGGCCCACCGTGAAGATCCTGGACCGCAGTCTGGGACAAGAAGACGGTCACAGGGACAGTTTGCTGTAGGATGCCCGGAGCTGCCTGGGTGCCGGGCTGCTTCTGAGTCAGACCTCGGGCGGAAGCACATGGAGTCAGCAGGGCAGAAGGAAGACATGCTTCGGTATTGGGGTATTCAAGGCTGTAAAGTCCGGCCTGATGCTCCCTTTCAAGTTTCCAGCAGGCTGCTGAAGCTCCTCTGTACTTCAGACAGACCGCAGACCTGCCAGCATCTCCGCCTCCTTCCTGCTTCCATTTTCTCACTGGTGTCTCCTTGGCCTGGAATACCCTTTCTCCCTCCGCCCGTGGATGGCCTGTCTGCCTTTCAACAAAACCAAACAGCATTTCCTCCCCAGCACCTCCTTCCCGACCCCCGGGAATAATTAACAGCCTTTTCTGCTGCCGATTCTTTGAAGAGCTATGTCTTACTCATTTGCAGAATGTCACCAATTCAGCTACTCCCTTCCCCACCCCACCCTAGCTCCCAGCACAGAGCCAAATCTCTTCATTAATGTGCTCTGAAATGGAGCCCAAGTCTGGATAAACTGCTGGGCAGTGGCCACAAAGATGTCAACCACAAACTGAGAAAACAGGTGTGGATAAGAACAGGTGAAGAAAATAAGCCTGTCCCCAAATCTAGGCATTTTTCTTCTGAGAGCTTTGACCCTTTTGTTTTAGGATCCTTTTAAATCAGCCTTCTGATAAAAATACATACACATGCCGACTGATACATTTTCTGGCGGTGCAATAAAGACCCTGAAGCCTAGGAATGGAAATCCCTCATGTAACCTAAAATCATGAATTTCAGTTCATAGGCAGCCACGTCAAAGGAGGAGGGTGTGGATCATGGAGTCCACCATTCCAAAAGAAAGAAAAGGAATCATGAGGAATCAAAAGGAATCAGCATGAGCGTTGGGGGCCTTGAAAGAGTCATTCTACTCTTCAGAATCTAAGTTTTCCTTGTTGGTAAAACACAAATCATAATACTTCCATTTCCGTTGTTAATAATACAGAGGATGTATGTAAAAAGTACCTAGGGTGGTATCTGGTGTGCGGCAGGATCCTCACACCCATGACTAGGTAACACTACTTACTTGCGCCCCCTGCCTGGCATTTAAAAAACTGCAGTCATCTTCCTTTCAGCAGTACATTCTGCACCGTGGCTTTGGAGTGGGGGAAGAGAGCCCAAGCAAACCACCACGTCAGTGAAGACGGGAAGCTGGGTGCCCAACAGCTGCTGTGAGCTCCTTCACATGGCTATTAATCATACAAGAGCTCATTTATGACAAACACAGGTCACTCCCTTTGCATGACAAGGAGCAGGGGTCCACAGAGCCCCATTATCCAAAAAAAAAAAAAAACAAAAAACCAGCATTGTGGGCGACATGGGAGAAGCCGAGTGCACACACACAAGCAGACATTGTAAGGCTGTTTGCACAACCCCGTCGTGCTCCTCGCGGATTTCCTGCCAAGGAGACATTCAGATCTCATGGAGTCGGGTGCAGACATTTGCTCATTCAACATGGCTTCAGGCAGTGGGCTGCAGAAACCCAGTGCATAATGCCCTCTGCTGGCCATCTTTAGAACTGCATGCTCAGGACACATGACAAAGCACTCAAGATTCCAGGCTCAAACTTTGTAGAGTGCAATGTGGTAGGAAGGCCTTATGTGGTCTAGAAACCCTATTAGCTTTGAGACCTTGGGCAGGTCATCTCAGATTTTAATTTCCAGATGGAAGTCTACAGCACTCATTTGACTGATCAAATACAGAGCGTGCCTGCCCTCAGGCTTCCAGCAGGTGGGCATTGTCAGAGTTCCTCTGGAACCAGGAAAGGAAGCCAACACGTGCCTATTGGTACTGTGTCCAGGGCGGCAGGTGTTTAGAGCTGACCCAAGATCGCATCTTCCTGGTGCCATCTCCCTCACTGTTGTCATCTCGGCTTTAGACGTGTGTGTCACTGCTGTGTGTTGGCACAGGCAGCGTGTGACGTGTTCCTGTGTGCGCAGTTCCTCCTGGCATCTGACAGGCTTCACCTCACGACAGGCTCAACTTGAGGCTGCAGGTGAGCTGGCAGAAATGCCCAGACAAGCTGCATGTTTTCAAACGGAGAAAAGGCCACTCCATTGATCGGAACCGAGCTGTGATCTGGCTGCCGATGTTCAGCACAGCCACCTCACCCCCAATCTATAGTTCTCTTTTTGATCTCTATCACCATTGATTGATGTAACCACTCAACTTCTAGAACAGGGCCTGACCCATAGGAGGAACTCCACATGCACATGTGTACACACACACAGTGTGGAATAATTGAAAACTCTGTAAGACACCATGGCCACCTATAACACCCCCTCTTTAAACAGAACAGGTTTCCTCCTCCATCTCCCAGGAGAGAGGAGGTTCTGAGGTCCTCCTGATATGAGGGGTGTTCTCTCTTTCTTTCTCTCTCTCTCTCTCTCTCTCTCTCTCTCTCTCTCTCTCACTGTTCTAAGGACACCTCTAGCATCGTGTGGGATCCAGAACCCACTCCAGCACCAGCGTGGTCTGAGCAGCAGGCCTCCATGGTCTTCCATCTGGACCCTGCATCTCCACTGGTGCTGCCCAAGATGGTGCTGAGAGTTTTGGCAGACAGAGCACACTGCTCATATGTATTGAGCTACAGCCAAAAAACCATGGAATTGAATGAGTACTGATCCTTCACTTAGCTGGATAATACCAACCGCTTCCATGGAGTGTGCATGTGTTCTGTGGTGGACACTGGGCTAAACACCTCAGAGATTGTCAAATTCAACCCACAAATCACCCTCCCAAATGCATGCACTGTTCTTGGGTCTGGTTTACTCACGCAAGCCGAGTATGTTGC